GGGGAGCAACACACCCCCACCCACTCCTGTCCTCCCCACCCCGGCCATAAAGCCGCGCTTTTAGCTTTAAATATTGATGGGGGCTGTGTCCGTCTGTCCGTCTGTCTGTCTGTCTGGAGGGGACAGACGGAGGCGCAGCGGTCGCGGGCAGCCCCTTCTCCTGCGGCTGCATTCGCAGGCTGGAGCTGCGCGGATGGAGAGATGGAGCCGGCCCTGAACTCGGCACGGGGGGCGCTTTGAGGGCCGGGGGGGTTTCTTTGGGGCGTCAGGGACCCCGGGGGTGTCGGGGCAGCAGCTCCTCACTGCCCGCTCCGGGAGAGCCCCGCTGGCTCCTCCGGGACCCAGGGATGGGTGACGGACGGCTGTGGGATAAAGGGGGGACGCCTTCTGCCCCCAAACCCTCCCGGCAGTCCCTTTCGGGGTGCCCAGCGCGGCCCTGCAGGAGCCGGGGGGGCTCCGGGGGCGGCCCCGATCCGGGTCACGCTGGCCCCGCACAAATCCCGACCCCCGGGGCCGCCTCCGGAGCCCGACGTGCTCCGTCTCGGGGCATTAACGTCAATTAACGATTAATAAATATCCCTTTCCCCCGCGAGGGAGGGGTCCCGGCGCGGCCCCGCTGTCCCCGGGAGCGCTCCGGGGCCGGGCTAGGCGCTGCCCCCGTTCCGTGCCCGCGGTCACTCGCGGGGCCGGTCACGGTGCCCTCGGTCACTCTTGGGGACACTCACGGTGCCCTCGGTCACTCGTGGGGCCGCTCACGGTGCCCTCGGTCACTCTTGGGGACACTCACGGTGCCCGCGGTCACTCTTGGGGACACTCACGGTGCCCGAGGTCACTCCTGGGACCGGTCACGGTGCCCGCGGTCACGCTTGGGGACACTCACGGTGCCCTCGGTCACTCGTGGGGCCGCTCACGGTGCCCGCGGTCACTTTTGGGGACACTCACGGTGCCCGCGGTCACTCGCGGGGCCGGTCACGGTGCCCGCGGTCACTCCCGGGGCCGCTCACGGTGCCCGGGGCTCCTCACCCCCCTGGGATGCCGGGGGGCGGCAGAACGGCGGTGCTGTCCCGCCTGAGGGGGCACAAGGCGTGAGCTCCTTTTCCAGCCACAACTCGGGAGCGTCATCCCCGCTCCGCGGCGGCGGAAAAATCCGCGAGAGGGCTGGTTCCGAGGGCCCGGGGGCTGGCCGGGAGGGAGGAGAGCAGCGCAGCAGCCGAGGCAGGGCAGGAGTTCCCCTCGCTCTTATTTGGTGGTCACCTCTTCCCATTACCTGCTCCATAATTCATCCGCTTTTACAGTTGATTTATCAAAGACCAAATATTTCTGGTCGTAAACACTTCATCTCGGCTTTTATCCCACTTTAGGTTTAAGAAGCCCCCCTCCCCGCTCACTCCTTTTTCAGCCGGTGACGCTGCGAGGATCAGCGCTGGAAAGAAACAGAGCAAACCCCCCCAAAAAAAACCCCAAAAACCTGGATATTCTGGGATCAGCTGAGCCTAAAACCAGAAAAACTCGACTTGCGGCGTAAAAGCGGGGGTCCCGCCCTTGCAGCCCCCCTTGCCGCGCCGCTGCCGGTGGCCGGGGTGCGATCCCGCTGCTGGAATTCCATCCGCGAGCACAGATAGAGTTGTCATCCCCATTCAGCGGCGGTTTATGGCTCTCTCCTCCTCAGCGGATTTTACAACCCGCATTCCACGACCTGCACATTTTTACTTTACAGCTCAGCCAGGCCTATTTTCCCCCTTTTTTTTTTTTTTTTTTTACACCCTTTTCCTTTTAATGACTGGATCTTTTCTTCTTAAAGAAGAAAAAGAAAAAAATGAAAGGAAAAAAGAAGAAGGGTTCAGTTTGGGGGGAAAAAGGGGAGAAGAGGGAGAGGAGGTGGAAGGAGGAGAGGCCGAGGGCTGCTGCCCTGGGGAAGAACACGCTCCGAGCAGAGTTTACACCCCGCGATCACAAACACCAGATTGTAGAATAATTCCCAATCAGGAATCCAGGAAATGTCGGGCGGAGGGGAAAATCAGGAGCTGGGCCCTTTCCAAAGCCCGCCGGAGGCTGCTGGCCCATCTGGGCTGGGAGCTGAGGCTGTTCCCGTCCTCACACCCCAAAAAAGAGCGGCCTGGGGTGGGGAGAAACCCCCTGAGAGCCCCAAAAATGCCCGAAATATCCCCTTGGAAGGATTAAAAGCGCGGCACGCCTTCCAGGAGGGCACCCCGACGGCAGCTTTGGCAGAGGACAGCCGGGGGCATTTCTGGGGGCAGCAGATGTCCCCCCCTGTCTCTCCCCCCCTCTTTGTTCCCGCTCTCATTTCCCCCCAAAACCACCCCCAGTTTCTGGGGTCTGCGTGAAAACCGAGGCAGGAACTCGGAGTCTGGGAGGGCAGGGAACTTTCTGAACTTTGCTGTTGGCCCGGAGGCCGCGCTGGCCCCCAGACGCAGGGAAATGAAATTTGGGCTGTTTGGGGTGTTTGGGGGGCTGCGAACCGCGAGGGCGAGGTGGCCAAAGCCTCGAGCAGCGGGGAAAAATTAAAATTTCCTCCGAATTAAAGGTCATTTTGGCCCAGGTTGCGATTTTGGCTGAGCGGTTTTTACACAAAAGAAAAACCAAACCAAACCAAAACCCAATGAAAAACCCCAAACCCGCCCCGAGCTGACCCAAATCTGACTTTATTCGGCAGGAACGGACAGAAAACGAGGCCGGCAGACCTACACCAGGTACCAGACGCTGGAGCTGGAGAAGGAATTCCGCTACAACCGCTACCTGACGCGGAGGAGGCGCATCGAGATCGCCCACGCGCTCTGCCTGACCGAGCGGCAGATCAAGATCTGGTTCCAGAACCGCCGCATGAAGTGGAAAAAGGAAAATAAAAGCGCCTGCCCCGGCTCCGGCGGGCAGGAAAAGGCAGACGCCGAGGAGGACGAGGAGGAGTGAGGTGGATGCAGGAAGAGAGAGAAGGGGGAAAGGGCGGGGAAAAGGCAAAAACACGCGTTAAAAAATTAAAAAAAAAAAAAAAACGGTTTTTACACAAAAGAAAAACCAAACCAAACCAAAACCCAATGAAAAACCCCAAACCCGCCCCGAGCTGACCCAAATCTGACTTTATTCGGCAGGAACGGACAGAAAACGAGGCCGGCAGACCTACACCAGGTACCAGACGCTGGAGCTGGAGAAGGAATTCCACTACAACCGCTACCTGACGCGGAGGAGGCGCATCGAGATCGCCCACGCGCTCTGCCTGACCGAGCGGCAGATCAAGATCTGGTTCCAGAACCGCCGCATGAAGTGGAAAAAGGAAAATAAAAGCGCCTGCCCCGGCTCCGGCGGGCAGGAAAAGGCAGACGCCGAGGAGGACGAGGAGGAGTGAGGTGGATGCAGGAAGAGAGAGAAGGGGGAAAGGGCGGGGAAAAGGCAAAAACACGCGTTAAAAAATTAAAAAAAAAAAAAAAAGGACTATATATAAAAATAAATGATAAGCGCATCGATAATTAAACCCCTAGGAGTGATTCCTTGTGTTTGACGACACTGAGAAAGAATACTACCTATATTAGAGTCTCTTTTTTTGGGTTCTTTTCCTTTTTGTACCATAGAATATCTACCTATTCCATGTGGCTTTAGAGTCAGGATAGACACGGTTTTTTTCTATGTGAGCCTTCCTCTAGCAGCACTCATTTGTAAATCGCTGTAATTTGTACCTCGCTGTGTACTGGGTTAATTTTTGGGGGGGTTATGAAGTAACGTGGTCGTGTTTAGCACCTTTAATTTAGAAAATGTGACCCGAAAGCCTGAATGCAAATTACATTTAGAGCGTAGAGTCCTGTACAGAATATGAATTATTATTCCTCCTTCCTCCCCGTAACCTCTGTGGTTCTTTTCTCCTCGCGGTGCTCTTTTGTCTGTGGATATTTTTACCTTCGTTGTTCGAGCCTCTACGGGGGGAAAAAAAAGGGAAAAAAAAAATTAAAAAAAAAAAAAAAGACGGAAAAAAGCAGAGGAATTAATATTGTGCTACGTCAAATGTTGTATATCAAAGTAGCAGATTATTTAATGGCGGCGCGTTGCTTTTTTGTTATTAATAATTATTATTATTATTGTTATTTTCCTTGGTCTGTGATTATTATTCTTCGAAATAAAAAGGAGATCTCCAACAACCTACAGCGCGTTGGGTGCCTCCCTCTTCGGCTCATTAAAAACAAACAAAAAAACCTCACATTTTTTGGAAGGGCTTTGAAATAAAGGTGGTGAAATATCCTTTTACCCCGATTTGTCACCCAAATTTCTCTCGTTTTCTTTGGCGCAGCCGATCCATCCGAGATCTCGCTGCTTTTTTCCGGAGATTGGGCGAATATCCGGGGAAATAATTGATTTTCGGGGCTCTGGAGGTGCGGCTGGGCTCTCTCCCCTCTCTCCCTCCGTGCTTGCGCTGGGGTTATTCCTGAGGAAGGAAAAAGCGAAAAAAAAAAGAATTTAAAGAACCCAGAATGGCCCCAAAGAATCTCCGCGCTCCTCGCTTCAATTCTCTTCTCCTCCGAACCAATTTGCACGGAGCGTTTTCCATTCCCCGCTCCTTTGGCCATTTTATTTCTTTATTATTTTCTTTTTAAGGTTCTCCCTCCGCCCTTCAATTACTTTACTGCGGACTGGAACTCTTTCATTAGCGCCAAATAACGCCGAGCATCAAAGCGCGCATAAAATAAATTAAAGCAATTAAACGCGGGGGAAGAAGGAGAAAAAATTTAAAAAATCAACAAGGCAAAACAAAAGGTTGGGTAAATTTAAGGACTTGCGCCTCGGCCTCGCTCTCCCCCTCCCCGCCTTTTTTTCCTTTTTTAAATTAATTTATTTATTTCCGCGGAGCATAAAGGCGCGGGGGCTCCGCGGAATTTTACTCGGAGGGGTTGAGCGAGATGCGGAGGGAAGGGAATTTAAAAAAAAAAAAAAAATCAAAATAACATTTAAAAAAAGGAACAAAATAAACCCGAATTCGGGGAGGAGTTGGCGGTGGCAGCCCCGCACCTTCCTCCTCCTCCTCCTCCTCCTCTTCCTCCCCTCGCTCCTTTTTCACCTCCCACCACCCCCCGATGATTTCGTGCCCGCCGCATCCTCGGGCAGCTTTCTTTTATTTTATTATTTTTGGGTTTTTTCCCCCCAAAATCAGGTGCCACGTCAGGGACCCGCGCGCCCCCAGATTCGCTGCTGGCCCTAATTAGGGAAATCCCGTAATTATTAAAGGATCGGCCCGGCCGCTTTTCCCCCCAAATTCTCCAAAGTCTGGAGGGGAAAATCCAGGGAAAATGAGAGGGAAATGCAGGGGAAATGAGGGGGGAAATCAGGGGGAAATCCAGGGAAAATGAGAGGGAAATCCAGGGAAAATGAGGGGGGGAAATCGGGGGAAATCCAGGGAAAATGAGGGGATAAATCAGGGGGAAAATTCAGGGAAAATAAGAGGAAAATCCAGGGGAAATGGGGGGGGGGGGGGGGGGGGGGGGGGAAATCAGGGGGAAAATCAGGGAGGAAATCCAGGAATCCAGGGAAAATCAGGGGAAAAATCTAGGGAAAGTCCTGGGAAAATGAGGGGGAAAATGCAGGGAAAATGTGAGGGAAATCCAGGGAAAATCAGAGGGAAAATCTTGGGATAATGAGGGAAATCTAGGGAGAATGAGGGGGGGGAAAATCAGGGGGAAAATCCCTTTTTCCCGCAGCAGCGCTCCCTGCAGAGCCTCGTCGGGGTGTGGGGGTGAAATCAATTAAAAAACCGAAGCCATTCCAGAATTTTCTGGCCCCTCTGCCGCTCCCGGAGCCCCCCCGCCCCCCCTGCGCTGGGGGCGAGCGGGAATTGAGGCGAATTCCAGTAAAAAAGGGCAAAGCCAGGCTGGGATCGGCCGGGGGGGCACCCCAAAATCCACCCTGGGGACACCGAGGGGACAGGGCGGGGTCCCGGGGGGATTCGGAGCCCCCCGAGCTCCGAGCCCGCTCTGCCCGCGGCTTTTCCTGCCTTTATTCCATCCCCCCAAAGCTCCCGCTCGCCCCTTTCAGCCTAAAAGATCCCAATTGTGACCCAAAAAAAAAGGGAATTGAGGCCAAAATCGCGAACCCCGCTGTTTTACTGTGCCTGCCCCCCATTTCCATCCATCCCAAACCTCCAGCTCTTTATTCTGGGGGGGTTTTATTGTTCGGGAATTTCAGGCGTTATTAGATTTTTTTTTTTTTTTTTTTTTTTTTTTTGTCCCCAATGACCCCCCCCATATCCAAGCCAAGGGTGGGGTGAGGAGGGTGAAAAAATGATTTAAAAAAAATCCCCGACACCCCTATTTGATAATTTTAATTTTTTTTTAATATTATTTTGTTTAAAAAAAAAAAAAAAAAAAAAGATGGCGGCTAAGAAAAAGACTGCTGTTAAACCGGTCATGAAGAAATGCAATAAATTCCTTGTTGTTTTATGAAAATTTACAACTTTGTGATAGAACTTTATGAGTGGCTGGGTTCTGGGATTGGCCAGAGCCGGTCATGTGGACTGCTAACCGTGAACATGAACTTTTTATTATTTCCCATGTGGTTATATTGCACCATTCTTCTGTCCGCTGCACCTTGGGTCGGATCAGTGTCCTCCGTAGGGCTCTCGCCCTCTCTCTTTGCATTTTTTTACTTTTGTGTGTAAGCTCGGCAGGGTAAAGCGGGGCACAGGGGAGGGGGGGCCGCCTGAGCCGCACGCACCCCCGGGCTCCCCCCTCCGCTCCCGCGCTTCCAACACCTCCAGACAATTTTTCCAATTTTTTCCTAATTATTACCACGGTTTTCCCCGCTATTTTTAATATTTTTTTTCCATTTTTCTTAATTTTTTTTTAAATCCCCCCCCCTCCCCGCTCAGTTTCCCCGCTGGTTTTTTTTTGGGATCTCAGTGGGAATGGAAGGGCGGAGGGGATTCCGCACCAGGAGCGCTTTTGGCACGGGGGGAAGTCGCTCCTTTTTCCGGGCAAGTGACAGAAAAATGCGAGCGGCTCCGAGGAGCCCGAGGGGCGACGGACGGCTCTCAGGTTGGGACAATATTTGTCAGCCAACAGATAAGCCAAAGCTGGTCTCTCCCGGCCCAAAATTCCCACTCGTGCCACGGAAAAGGACGCCAAAAGGTAAGGGAAGAATGCGTTTCTCTTCGTTTATTTGTTACGGATGTAAATATCTGTATTTTCTGTATTTTTTATACTCAATGGAAAGGTGGATTTGTCGAGCTGGTTTTTTCTCCTGTTTCGTCCCCATCTCCTCCTGCGCGGGGAGGAGGTGGCGGAGGGGGGATGAAAAAGGGTGGGGTGCTGAAGGAGGGAGGAACGAAAGGCTTTGGGGATCTGATTCAGCGACAATTTCAGCCGGAAAAAAAAAACCAAAAAAAAACCCAAAAAACGGAGATTAGAGGTGAGGAAAAGACAGAAATAAAGGTGGAAGAAAAAGCGGGGAAATTAATCGAGAGGAATGCGAGAGAAATAAAGGTGGAAAAAAGGGGGAAAGAAAGAAACCGAGAGGAGGAAAGGAAGAAATAATGAGGGGAAAAAAAGGAAAAAGAGAACGAGAAAAGAAAAAGAGAAGGAGAAAAGACAAAGCGAGGCAGAAACAGAGGGAAAACGAAGAAAAGAAATAGGAAATAAGGAGAAAAAGGGGAAAAGGGACTGGGAGGATGAGGAGGGAGCCGGGTAAGGTCACCTGGAGACAGCAGACGTGCGAGGAAGGGCTCGCAGCCGCTGCCTCGGACGAGCACCGAGCCCTTTGTGGGCGGTTGTCGCGTTCCGTTTTGTTGGTTCGGGTGTTGTTTTGGGGTTGTTTTTCCCTCCCCCTGGCAGAACGCGGTGCCAGTTTGGTCGTGTCGAGGCGAGCGCGGTGGTTTGGCGGAGTTTCCGCGGGGCTTTGGGGTTCGCGCTGCTCCCCAGGGTCGTTTGTCGTGCGGGTGGTTTTTCCTCGGAGCTGGAGGAAATCTGAAAGTCGCTGCCACAAATACAAAAAAAAAAAAAAAACAACAAAAAAAACAACAACACGCTAAAAAACCAAAAAAAAAAGGAGGGGGAAGGAAGAAAAGGAAAAAAAAAAAAAAAAGGAGGAGAGGAAAAAAAAATTAAGAATGAAGTCAGCGCAGAGCGCAGCGCTCTCATTGTGATTTTTTTTTTTCCTCTCTCTCCCCAACTCCCAAATGAAGCTGACGTTGGGAAGCAATCAAGCTCCTCGGATTTTAATTGCGCTCTGCAGCTCTAAGGCGGCTTTGGGGCCGGGGTTTCCTCCTGGCCCAAACCTCGCTGTTCTTTCAGGGAAATCTTCACCCGGAGGTGATGTCGGCTTTAATCTCATTTATTTGATTTTTTTTTCCCTTTTCCTGGCTATTTCAAGGGCGGGCTGTGAAATATTTGTATGAATGGCTGCCCTTCCGAGGTGGCTGTTAAATAAGATAATGAAGGAGCGGGACGGAGGGAGAGGAGATTCATTATTTAAGCATAAACCGTTTTATGACGCGACGATTTATCTGAGGAGAGCGCGCCGAATATTGCGTGCGAGAGGGTAAATGATGGCGAGCAATAAACAGAAGGACGTTTTTAAAAGCGATTTCTTCCCCGAACCTGTTACATTTTACATCAATCACCGGCCGAGGGGGTTGAAAAAAACCCGGCGCGGGTTCAACCTCCCGCTCTCCCTTTCCCCCATCTTTTCTCTGTGGTGTTGTTTTATTTTTCTGTTGGCGCAGGGGACAAAAAACCAAACCAGAAACAAATAATTTAGGGAAGAAACCTCGTTTTTAGGCCGATTCTCCGCTGGCAACCACTTGTGGAACCCCCGCGGGCTCGGGGGGATTTTTAACATTTCCCGGGGGAGCGGAGCCGGCCCGAACCCTGCGGTTGGGGGGATGATTTGGGGGTGATTTTGGGGTGGTTTGGGGGTGGTTTGGGGGTTTGGCTGCTCCACCCCGCCGGTTCATTTGGGGAAAAGCGAATTAAAATCCCGGCGGGGCCCATTCCCCGCCGTCTGCTGCCATCTACCGTCGGCGGCCCGCGGACACCGGGGGGTCCCGGGGGGTCCCGGGGGGCTCCCCCAGCCCCGAGACCCCTCCCGGGCTGCCCCCACCTCTCCTTTCCGCGGGGGGGAGCGCAGCTTTCACCTCCACCTGGAGCCCCCGCGGGTTTTGTTCCGCCTCGAAATTCGGATTTTTTTTTTTTTTGGGGGGGGGTCGGGCGGAGCCGAGGTTTTGCCGTCCCGAAAAAACCGCAAAGATGAGCTCGCAAATCCCCCGGGATCGGGGCGCGCTCGGTGCGCGGGTGCGGAGGAACGCGGAGGGGCCGGGAGGGGCGGAAGGGCCCCAGGGGGGTTTGGCAGCTCATTATTTAAAAAAAAAAGGTGAAAAAAATTGAAAAAAATGGAAATAAAATGAAAATAAATGGAAAAAGAAAGACATAAAATGGAATAAGATGGAATAAGGTGGAATAAAATGGAATAAAATGGAATAAGATGGAATAAGATGGAATAAAAGGGAATAAGATGGAATAAAGTGGAATAAAATGGAATAAAATGGAATAAAATGAAATAAAATGGAATGAGATTAAAAGAAAGAAAAGAAGAAGGAACAAAATGAAAACAATAAAACAAAAAATCAAATAAAATAATAAAAAAAAAAAAAGGAATAAGAAGAACTAAAGGGAAATAACCCGCAATAAAACGCAATAAATTCCAATAAACGGCAGGCAGGGGAGCTTTGGCTCCTTCCTGGCTCGCAGTGGCCGCTCCGGGAGGGGCCGGGGGGGTCCGGGGGGGCCGAGCCGGTTGCTGGGGACAGGGGCAGACGAGGGGTCACTTTTAAGTTACTGTAGGCGCTGCGGGGACAATGCGTGCCTGTTATTTTAAAAGGTCCCTCCCTCCCTCCCTCCCTCCATCCCTCCCTCGTTTTCTCCCTTCTCGTTTTCTCCTCCTGCCCCGCAGTTCCCTGGCAACTGTTCAGGTCGGGAATAATTCTGCTTTTCCCCCCCAGAAAGTGCCGCGCTCGGAGGCTCCCGCCTGGTGGGGGGAATTCCCAAAAAAAAAACCCCAACAACACCAAAAAAAAAAGCAGGAAAAAGAGGGAAAGGAATGAATTTTCAGCCGCGGTTTTTCCGCGCTGCAATTCCGCCCCGCGCCGGCCCCGTCTCGCCTCTCCTTCCCCTTCTCCCCCCTCATTTCACCCCCTCCGCCCTCCCGAGGAAATATTCGGGGCTGGGGGCGTTTGGGTTCCCCTCCCCCCCGCTGCCCCCCCGCTTTTTTCTGATTTTGCCGTTAATAATTAGCCGCGCTCCTTAATGAACAATGGCAGATGATTATTGCCGCTTTTCAAAGCTCGCATTAACCAGGTTATTACGCGCTGCACGGGAAGTCAGGTAAATTAAACTGAGATTGCTGGAAATTAACTTCCAGGCGGTTTCGCCTGGGAGAGAGGCGATTTTTTTAATATTTTTTATTTTTTTTAACACCTTCGGGGCTCGTTGTTTTAAAGCCTGCAGCTCGGGTTTATTTTCCGGAGCGATTTGGGGTGCGCAGGAGCGTTGCAGGGCAGGCTCGGCTGCTGCCAGAGGTTTTTCTGTGCCTGAGTTCCAAGAACAAGGGGTTTTTTCAACTCTTTTCGTGCTCTTGGCTCGACTTTATGGCCGCAATAATTCCCTCGGTGGGGAAACCCCCGCTGCGATCGCACTTCAGAAGGGTCGGGAATTCGTGGAAAAAAAAAAAATAAAAGGAAAATTTAAAAAAAAATTAAAAAATATTTTAAAAATAGTTTCTTTTTTTTTATTGGAAGCAACGGCACGGAACTTTCCCAGCAGCGCCGAGCCCTGAGCGGCTCCAGCCCCGCACAAGCCGCGCTCTGTTCTGCCGGCCTGGCCAAATATTTGGGTGTTGTTTTAATCCCCTCATCCCTCGGCTCTGCCGGGGCTGCTGGCCAGGAAAACCACGCGACAAAAAAAAAAAAATTAAATAAATAAATACAAAAAAGGCCAGCAGAACTTGTCCGTGCCCCAAATTCTTGTCTTTATCTTTATTTATGCCCCGACGTTTGAGCGATGGCTGTCAGGAGGGGACAGGCGCAGGGAAATCGGGGACTGCGCCTTCTGCTGCTCCTCTGCACTGCCCGGCCTGGATTTTGGGGTTTTTTGGGAGGAAACGAGGCAAAAAATCTGGTTAAAGCCGAGCCCCCTCCCCGTTTTCTTGCTCCTCTGCAGAGCCCGGCCTGGAATTTGGGTTTTTTGGGAGGAAACGAGGCAAAAATCTGATTAAAGATGAGCCCTCTCCCCATTTTATTGCTCCTCTGCAGAGCCCGGCCTGGATTTTGGGGTTTTTTTTTGGAGGAAATGAGGCCAAAATCTGGTTAAAGATGAGCCCCCTCCCCATTTTATCACTCCTTCTTTACATGAGGCAAAAATCTGGTTAAAGCCGAGCCCCCTCCCCATTTTATTGCTCCTCTGCAGAGCCCGGCCTGGATTTTGGGGGTTTTTTTGGAGGAAATGAGGCCAAAATCTGGTTAAAGCTGAGCCCCCTCCCCACTTTATTGCTCCGCCTTTGCAGACCTCGAGTCTGGAATTTGGGGTTTTTTTGGAGGAAATGAGGCCAAAATCTGGTTAAAGCCGATCCCCCTCCCCACTTTATTGCTCTTCCTTTGCAGACCTCGGGTCTGGATTTTTGTTTGTTTAGGTTTTTTTTTAAATATGAGGCCAAAATCTGATTAAAGCCGAGCCCCTCCCCGTTTTATTGCTCCTCCTCTGCAGACCTCGAGTCTGGAATTTTGGGGTCTTTTGGTTTTCTTTTTTTCAAAGATGAGACCAAAATCTGATTAAAGCCGAGCCCCCTCCCCACTTTATCGCTCTTCCTCTGCAGACCTCGCACCTGGAATTTGGGTGGGGTTTTTTTTTTAGTTTTTTTTGAGGAAATGAGGCAAAAATCTGATTAAAACTGAGCCCCCTCCCCACTTTATTGCACCTCTGCAGACCTCGAGTCTGGAATTTGGGGTTTTTTGGAGGAAATGAGGCCAAAATCTGATTAAAGCCGAGCCCCCTCCCCGCTTTATTGCTCCACTGCAGAGCACATTTCCAGACCTCGAGTCTGGAATTTGGGGTTTTTTGGAGGAAATGAGGCCAAAATCTGATTAAAGCCGAGCCCCCTCCCCGCTTTATCGCTCCTTCTTTGCAGACCTCGCGCCTGGATTTTTTGGGGGTGTTTTTTTTTGAGGAGATGAGGCCAAAACCTGATTAAAGCCGAGCCCCTCGGCGCCCTCAAAGCCCGGCTTAACTTCAGGGCTGAGCCTGAGCCCTCCTTGCTCCCTCCCGCCCGAGCTGGAGGCGTCCAAAGCAAACAGAAGTTGTCCAAATCCACATTGGCTCGGGATTTGAGGCGGTTTAAATTTAAAATTCCCTCTTTGGAGCCCTGGGCCGGGGGAATGGAAACCACCCCTGAGCCGAGCGCTCAATCGAGGGAGATTTAGTGCGCTTTAAGACCCCTGCTCGAATTTAAATGTATCATAGGTGGCGAATCAATTACAGCGCGGGCCTGACCCTCGGCGAGATGAAAACTGGGACAGCCCTCGGGGCTTTTCCTGGTTTTTTTTTGTTTTTTTCCCACCTTGGGAGTCAAGTTTGTCCCTTTTCCTGCCCCAAGGAAGCGTGGCTAGGGTCGAGTGAGACGGAAGATTTTTTTTTTTAATCTCCAGAGATGTCAGCGATGCGCAATTAGCAGGCCGGCTTCAATTAGCGCGGTTTTATTTTCTTTTAAAACCAAGAAAAAACTCTGCAAAGAGCCCCTTCCCACCACAAATTATCATAACGAGCGGCGCCGCGAGCTGCGGCCGTGCGATATTTTATTTTTCCCCTATTTTTTTTTATGCTTTCCCAAACTATTTCGAGGGATTTATTTGCAGAGGAGCGGCGGAAAAACACCGGGACAAACATTTTTTTTTTTTTTTTCCGGCGGATTGCTGTTCCTCACGAGAGTCAAGTTTGTCCCTTTTCCTGCCCCAAGGAAGCGTGGCTAGGGTCGAGTGAGACGGAAGATTTTTTTTTTTAATCTCCAGAGATGTCTTTTTTTTTTTTCCGGCGGATTGCTGTTCCTCACGAGCTGGGCTGGCAGGACATCCCATTTCTCTGCCCAAAAAATTTGCATGCGGGGCTGCTCGCGCCTGATAATCTCAGGGTTTTTTTGTTTTTTTGGGTTTTTTTTTGCAGAGCCACAAAAATTGCGTAACCCATCCAACGCACCAACCGCAAAACCTCTTATCCCAGCTTTTAAAAAAAATTCCCCGTTTTCTCTCCTTTTTTCCCCCCTCTACTCATCTCTCCCTCTCAACCTCTTTCTGATTATTATTTTTTTTTTTTAATTTCCCCCCATTTTTATTTGTATATTTTAACCCTGGCCACTTCGGGCGCATTCCACACACAAAGGGGAAACTCTGCAAGAACAAATATCGGAGATATCGGCCCGGGAGGGGGGCGGCGGCTGGAAAACCACTTCCTCTGCCTGTTATTTCCTTGAATTCTGAGCATCGCGCCGCGGCCCGGGATGTTCCTCGCAGGCACGGAACAACCTTGGCTCGGCCGCCGTAAACACGAGCTTCCAAATCAATTAGTCGTAACAAGATCCCGCTTTTCGGAGCCTCTCCAGCCTCTGGCAGCCCCGCGGAAGATGTGTAATTCTAGATTTGTGGCGCGCACAATTCACAGATTTGGAGGTATTTCAGCCCCGACAGACAGATGGTTACAAATTCGGACAGGAAACAACCCCGTGATAAAAGGCGGCTGATCGGGGGGATGGCGCTGGGGTGCATTTAGGTGGATTTTCTTTTCCTTTTTTCTTTTTTCTTTTCCTTTTTTTTTTCTTTTTCTTTTCCCTTTTTTCTTTTTCTTTTCCTTTTTTTCTTTTTCATTTCCTTTTTTTTTTCCTTTTTTTTCTTTTTCTCTTTTTTTTTCTTTTTCATTTATTATTTCCTTTTTCCTTCTCCTTTTTTCTTTTAACTATTTTTTAAAAAGTTTATATTTTCGGTTTGGGTTTTTTTTGCCGGGGTCTCTCTCTGCTACTGTGATTGATTTTCCCCCTTGAGAAAAAAAAAGAAAAAAAAAAAACCATACGTGGATTTTTCTTTTCCTTTTTTTTCTTTTCCATTTCCTTTTTTCTTTTTCTTTTCCTTTTTTCTTTTTCTCTTTTTTTTTCTTTTTCATTTATTATTTCCTTTTTCCTTCTCCTTTTTTCTTTTAACTATTTTTTTAAAAGTTTATATTTTCGGTTTGGGTTTTTTTTGCCGGGGTCTCTCTCTGCTACTGTGATTGATTTTCCCCCTTGAAAAAAAAAAAAAAAAAAAAAAAAAAGAAAAAAAAAAGCGGCGAGAGGAGCTTCAACCCGACCTTGAGCCAGCGAGGAGCTCGGGGGGGACGCGCAGGTAGAGCCAAGCGAGGAAATCCGGGCGAATCCAAACAAAAAGCCCAAAAAAAAAGATTTAAAAACCAAAGTGGAGCTTTCAGAGGGTCGGACACTCCCCGCGTTGCCTTTTGCGGGGTTTAAAAGGACAAAAATCGCTGTTTTGCGGTGCGGACGGGCTCGAGGAGGGGGCGCGGACCTTGCGCACCTCCGGGCGCGCTCGGAGCGGCAGCGCCGCGCTCCTGAACCCCCCCGGCGCCCCGGCACGGGCGCGATCGATAAAATCCGCTTTTCCCCGCAGCCGGGGCTCCGCTCCGGCCAGAAAAGGTCGGGCGCGGGTCCGGCATTAACAAAAATCGCGAGAGGGCACAGCGCGGGGCGGCCGCGGGAGGAGCGCGGGGCTCGGGCCGCAGCCCAAAGGAAATATTTCCATTTTCCATCCGCGCCCCCAAACGCGGAGCTCTGGCGGCCCCGGAAAAGCGCGGAGATGCGGCGGAGGCAGAGCGCGGAGCGGGCAGCGCTAATTGACGGTAATTAGTTGTCCAAAGCGATTTCTCCTCCCGGAGCGAACCCAGCTCAGCCCCCGCCGCGGGGGCTCCTCCTTGCAAACTTGGCTCAAAAACAACTTTTAACTTCATTTTGCCGCCCCTTTCCCCGTCCCGTTCCCCCCAACTCCGCGCGGAGCGCTCGCGCAGTTCGGGACGAGTCGCAAACGCGAGGGGTTAAAGTTTGGCCAAGGCGAGTAATTAACTTTTTTTTTGTTGGTTTTGTTGGGGTTTTTTCTCTCTTTTTCCCCTCTCCGCGCTGTTCTTTCGGGGATCCGCACGCATTTATTGGGTGCAAATATAAAGATTTCGGCTCTCGCCGCGCCATCCGCGCGGACGGGCGCTCCGGGGGAGGGAGAGGAAGAGGGGAGGGCGAGGAGGAGGAGGAGGAGAGGGGGGGGGACCGCGCGTTTATTTATTTATGAAGCTCGCAGCGCGCCGGGAGAAGGCTCCTTTCGGCAGATATTATATATTTGGTTAAGGGGGTGCCTTTCTGTTGTTTAAAAGGGAGGGAAAAAGGGGGTGGACGGTTTGTTCTTGGGGGTCCCTGGTGCAATCTCAGCTCCTCATGGGTGCTATTTTGCAACCTCAGGCGCCTGCTATTGGTCAGCCCGTGATCAGATGGTTGTATTTCCTTGTGTCCCTCGCTGGCACCACGCCATCTCCCTTCAGCTAAAACCCAATCTCCGATATACCACTAATAGCTAAACCACTTGGACTATAAAACACAACAAATCATAAAGCCCGGGCTAAAAAGGACGGCACGCGCGCGCACACACACACACACAAGGATTAAAAAAAAAAAAAAAAGGAAAAGGAAAAAAAAAAAAAAAAGGGGGAATCTCTCTCTCTCTCTCTCTCCTTTCCGATGAGTTCTTATTTTGTCAACTCGACCTTCCCGGTGAGCCTGGCGGCGGGGCAGGAGCCCTTCCTGGGACAGCTCCCGCTGTACCCCTCGGGCTACGCGGATCCTCTGAGGCACTACCCCGGCACCTACGGAGCCCCGGCCGTGCAGGACAAGGGCTACTCCTCCTCTCCTTACTACCAGCAGAGCACAGCAGCGTTCGGCGGCCGCGGCTCCGCCTGTGACTATGGGCCCGGCGGCTTTTTCAGGGACAAGGACCCCGCGTGCGCCCCTCCCAGCCTGGACGAGGTGCCCTCCTTCGGCGCCGAGCCGCGCAAGGCGGACTGCGCGCAGAGCAAAAGCGCCTTCGGAGAGAGCGAGGAGCAAAAGTGTTCCGCGCCGGTTTACCCCTGGATGCAGCGGATGAACTCTTGCAATAGTGAGTTTACTCTTTTTACAGAAATAAATGCATCAATCTCCTCCCTCCCTCTTCCCCCCCCCCCCCCTTTTCTTATTTGTTACCGCCAGGGAGAGAGAGAGAGAGCGAGGAGGGGAGCGGCAGGAGGAAGGTTCACTTTTAGAGCCCAAACTTCCAGCGGGGGAACTTGGGCGGACGTGAGAGGCTCCAAACACGCACCAAAACTTCCCAGCGCTCCGAGATTTCCACCCCGAGCTAGAAACGCTTCAACCCCAAAACTTCTGAATTTCTGCCCCACTCCCTTCCCCCTTTTTTTTTTTTTTTGTTTTTCCCTCTTTTTTTTTTTTTGTTTTTTTTTTGTTTTTTTGCCACATTCCTGTTCGCGTGTCACTCAGCTACAGCGATTTGTCTCTGTCTCTGCCCCACACGCACAGGGAGATATCTTTTCTGAATCAGATCTGGATGACTTTACACACACAGAGCCCCGACCCGCGCCCCCACCAGCTCCCCCCGCCCTCTCTCTCTGTCCCCGAGCCGGAATTAAATGATATAAAAAGTGTTTAAATATTTGAAGGCGGACGGTTGCATTTTTAATGCCGCTCGCACGTAATGAAAAGTCTGCCTGGGGAGGATTTTCCTGGTTTTCTCCCCCCTCCCGCGGTGATATATGACTTCTTTAAGTGCTGTTTCCTCAATCAGAATCACAACAATAACCAAAAAAAAACCCCAGATAAGTGTGTGGGGGGGTGAAGAGCAATAAAAGCCTCCCTGCTCTCCTTCCCCGTGTTCAGACGCATTTGTTGCCTTTTAAGTTCCAAATTGATGTCCATTAGCGCGGGGACATCGAGTGTTGTGTCCTCTTTAATGCGGACTTTGGGCAGATCGATTCACTTCATTATTGCTTAAATGCCCCGATCTATTACGGCTTTGCCGGCAGGCTGCAGCGCGGGGAGGGGGGCGAGAACACCTTGCGGTCCCTCATCCCGGAATAAGATGGATCGGGCCTTGTCTCGGCCCAAAGCCCGGCTTTAACCCCCCCTGCCCGGCCGGGCCGCTCCGAGCGCTGCTCCCGGGGCTGCGCGGGGCTCTGGGGAGGCGCGGCCCCCTCCGCACCGTCCCAAAAATCCACCTCGCTGGTCCCCCTTCACCCCTCCCCTATCTCCCCTTATTTCCCCTCTGTTTCCCCTTTATTTCCTCTTATTTCCACTCTATTTCCCCTTATTTCCCTTTATTTCCTCTTATTTCTACTCTATTTCCCTTTATTTCCTCTTATTTCCACTCTATTTCCCCTTATTTCCTCTTATTTCCTCTTATTTCCACTCTATTTCCCCTTATTTCCCTTTATTTCCTCTTATTTCCCCTCTATTTCCCCTCTTTAACCTTATTTCCCCTTATTTCCCCTCTACTTCCCCTTATTTCCCCTCTGTTTCCCCTTTTCCCCTCTATTTCCCCCTAGTTTCCCCTATTTCCTCCTATTTCCATCTACTTTCTTCTATTCCCCCTTATTTCCCCCTAATTCCCCCCATTTTCTTCTATTTCCCCCCGTTTTTCCTGCGTTGTTCCCTGTTTTCCTCTATTTCCCCTTTATTTCCTTCCATTTCCCCCCATTTCCCCCTATTTCCTTTTATTTTCTTCTATTTCCCTCTATTTCCCCCATCTCCTCCTATTTTCTTCTATTTCCCCTTATTCCCTCCTATTTCCCCCTATTTTCCCCCCACTTTTCTTCTATTCCCCTTCTTTTCTTCTACTTCCTCTATTCCCCCTATTTCCCCCCTATTTGTTATTTCCCCCTATTTCCCCCTAAATTTTTAATATTTTCCCCTATTTCCCCCAAATTTTTAATATTTTCCCCTATTTCCCCCTATTTCTTTATATTTCCCCCTCTTTTTTAATATTTCCCCCTATTTCCCCCTATTTTGTAATATTTCCCCCTCTTTTTTTATATTTTCCCCTTTTTTTTAACATTTCCCCCTATTTTTCCCTCATTTTTAACATTTCCCCCTATTTCCCCCTATTTTTAATATTTCCCCCTCTTTTTTAATATTCCCCCTATTTCCCCTCTTTTTTAATATTTCCCCCTATTTTTTAATATTTTCCCCTATTCCCCCCTATTTTTTTAATATTTCCCCCTATTTTTTAACATTCCCCCCTATTTTCTCCCTGTTTTTCCCTATTCCCCCCCATTTTCCCTTATCCCCCCCACTCCCCGGCCCCGTCCCGGATTTTCTTTTTGTTTTTTTTTTACTTTTATTATTATTTTTTCCGCTGATTTTCCCTCTCGGCCGCTCCCTCAGGTTCGTCCTTCGGGCCCAGCGGCCGGCGGGGCCGCCAGACCTACACCCGCTACCAGACGCTGGAGCTGGAGAAGGAATTCCACTTCAACCGCTACCTGACCCGGCGGCGCCGCATCGAGATCGCGCACTCGCTCTGCCTGACCGAGCGCCAGATCAAGATCTGGTTCCAGAACCGCCGCATGAAGTGGAAAAAGGAGAACAAACTGCTCAGCTCCTCGCAGCTCAGCGCCGAGGAGGAGGAGGAGAAGGCGGCAGAGTGATTCCGCAAGAACGACGACAAAAAAACCAACAACAACAAAAAAACAACAACTAAAAAAAAAAACCCAACCACAACAACAACAAAAAAAAAACCCAACAACAACATAAAAACCCAATAACAACCATTAAAAAGTTATCTAAAAGGCGCAAAACGCCATGAAAAGTCGGGATTTGGGGAGGGGGGGAGTGGGCTGCCGGGGGGAAACGCCGCTCCTGGGGGGGACAAGCCCCTGCAGCAGCGGCCGCCGCCACGAAGTTTGGGCCACCAACGCCCCGGACTCGAATTCCCGATGATTTTGTCCATAAACAAGCAAAAAACACACAAAAATAGTCTTCTAGTCGCGTTTTGAATTCTGGTTTTTTTGCCCTTCCCACGCTTCCCTCCCGCTCTGCTCCCCCCCCCACACGAAATGGAATAATAATAATAATAATAATTCTAATGAAAAAGCGAAGAGATGGAGAGAGAGAAGGAGGGAAAGAAAGGGAAAGGGAAAAAAAGGGGGGAAAAAAAGGAAAAAATTAAAAAAAAAAAAGGACTCCTAGCCGTGTTTCTACCCTTGGTGTCACTGTTAGTAATCTGCTAACTCTTGTATTTAATGGAAGTGCTGCAATATATGTCATTTGGGGTGTTTCTTGTCCTAATTTTGTAAAAATGTTTCATGCACGGTTGGCATAAGTTGGGTTTTTAATTTTCTTTCTTTTTTTTTAATTTTTTTTACTCCTTTGGTAAATTAATCAAACCCTGGGGTTCTTTGTAATTAGTTTCGGGGTGTTTGTTTTTGTTTGGTTTTCTTTTTTTTTTTTTCCTTTTTAATTTTATTTTAAAAAGGAAAAAAGGAGAGATAGAACGAGTACTACCTACAAGTCTGCGGGGAAAAAAAATAAGAAAAAAGAAAAAAAAAGGAGAAGAACAAGGACAGAAAGTTCTATTTTATTAATTTTTGTACGTGTTGTGTTTGGAGTTTGTCTTAGCTATGAACATGGAATTCTCTAATAAAAGCCAAGTCTTCGATCTCACCCTCACTCCCCTCCCCTGTCATTATTTTTAGAGGATTTTTCCCTTTTCCAGGGGGGTGAAAAGGAGATTTTCGTTGCCCTGGGGGTGACGATGTCCCCGGACCCCCCAGGACTCGCAGCTCCGGGGCACGGGAATTTCGGGGGACATAAAAATCTGATTTTCCCCCATTTTTTTGGCTCTGCTCTGAAATGGAAGCCCTTTCCCCAGGAGTTTCCTGGCTGACATTTCTGCCTTCAGCACCGCGCTCTCTCTCTCCCTCTTTTTTTTTTTTCCTTTTTTTTTTTTTATTGTTACAGTACAAAGAGTTATGACGAAACGCCGTCCCATCTCCGTAATAAATCAAGGAAACGGGCAAAAATACGCCCTCATTTATCCACCAAAGCTACCTAACATTTGCCCAGCATCTTTCAAACATCTGCTCCCTCGCTCCGTGCCCCCAAATCAAAGAGAAATGTGGCGCAAAAAAAAAAAAAAAAAAAAAAAAAAAAAAAAAAAAAAGGAAAAAATTTAAAAATTTTCCAGATTTCCAGGGAATTTACCCCGGAAAAAAATTCCCAGCGCCAGGAATGAACTGCCGTTTAAACTGGGAGGGGGAAAAAGTGGGAAAATTCTGAATTCAGCTCTTTGGGAAGGGCGGATTTTTATTTTTTCTCTTGGCTCGGCTGGCGATGGGACGGGGAAGGTTTTGTGCTCCTCGGCGAGGAATTTTCTTGCGAAATCTCCAACTTTCCCCTGCGTTTGGGGGGAATGGAATGAGATTAGAGGTTTTTTGTTGGGTTTTTTTTTTTTATTTTTTTATCAGCTGGGGGATTTAGGGCCGGCTCGGGAATGTGCGCGGGGGGGAAAAGGCGAGCAGGGAGCAGCTCGTGGCCACCAGAAAGCCCCGGGTGGGAGCGCGTCCCCCCCGCGCCACGAGCCGCTTTTAATGCCAGCCACTTTTAAAACCAATTCATGCAGAAGCCTCACAGCTGTAGGACATTTACTATTATTGCCACGCTTTTCATTGCCCGTAATTATTATAATTATATGTCACTTTCAATATGGCGCATAATTCCCAACGAGTTGCAGGCGAGCACGCGAAATTCCTGAAGTGCCTCGGAAGGAGGGAGAAAAAAAAGGAAAAAAAAAATTTAAAAAAAAATACGAGAGACAGAGAAAAGGAAAGAGACGGAGAAAAGAGAAGAAGGAGAGGAAAAAAAGGAAAGTGATGCCTCAAAAGCCCGGCTCTTTCCCAGCGTTCTCCCCAATTTCCGAGCGCTTTTGCTCCCCGATGTTCCTTGCAGGTCAGCAAACGGGAAGGGAAACCCGCGCAGCTCAAGGCTCAGAGAGGACCTGGAAACGCTCGGGAGCAGGAACATCCCAAAAACCAACGTTATCAACCATTCCCACCGGCCGGATTTCGCCTCTTTTTCCTTTCTCCCATCCGTTTTTCCCCAGGTTTTTTTTCCCTCCCCACTCCAGAACTGAGACGCGAGCTCCTGGCTGAAGAAAACCTCGACTTTTCCGCCTAGAAACCACCCCAAAAACCACCCGCAGCTCCTGGTCACCCCTTCCAACTGCGGACACCCACAGAGGCCTCGCAGCCACCCAAAACCTCATCCCAAACTTCTCCAGCGCCACAAAACCCGAGAACTCCTCCAGAAACCCCCCCGAGCCCGGGGGGCGCCGAGACCCGCAGGACGCGCCGCGCCCTCTCCTCCCTCCCCACCGCCACTTGTTGCTTTCCTTTTTTTTTTTTAATTTTCCTATTTTTTAAAAAAAAAATCAGTAAACCGAGGTGTGGGGTCAAGGGTTTTTTTCTGATTTTTTTTTTTTTTGATTTTTTTTGGGGGGAGAGAAGGGGGGGTCGCCGCGGGTGCGGTGCGGCGGCGCGGCCGGCAGGTGGCGCGCTCCGCCCAGGCGGGGGGCGATGGCGGCCGCGGATTTGGGGGCGACTTCGGGCCTAGAGCGGCTCGGCGCTCGTCATTATTTGTAACCATAGAGCATGAATTACCTCTTGAGGTCATCAGTGAGAATTTACGACTGGTCAACAAAAGCACGTGACGCCCAAACGCGCCCCCCACCCTCCCCCCATATTTGGCCGCATACATAGCAAAAACGAAGTACAGTGCATTGCTATAATTCATTAATACATCATAAATCGTCAAGCACGGGGTTATAACGACCACGAGCCACAAATCAAGCCCTCCAAAATAACCCAAATGAGCTCTTACTTTGTAAACTCGTTCTCAGGGCGCTACCCAAATGGCCCCGACTATCAGTTACTAAATTATGGGACCGGCAGTTCCATGAACGGTTCTTACAGAGATTCAAGCACCATGCATTCCAGCTCTTATGGCTACAACTACAATGGGATGGACCTTAGCATCAACCGCTCAGCCTCCTCCAGTCACTTTGGGGCTGTGGGCGAGAGCTCCCGCGGTTTCCCTTCTCCAGCTCAGGAGAGCAGGTTTAGACAGGCGTCCAGCTGCTCCTTATCTTCTCCCGACTCCCTGCCCTGCTCCAACAGCGAGAGCCACGGAGGCAAACCCGCCCCGTCCCCCTCCGAGCCGGCTCCTGCCGCCAGCACCACCAACACAAATTTCACAGAACTAGACGAGACCAGCGCGTCCTCGGGAGCCGACGAGGGCACTCCAATAAGCAGCAGCATCCCCCGAGCGCAGGCAGAGCCCATCGCGACCTCCACGGCAGCGACAGAAGGGCAGGCACCTCAGATATTCCCTTGGATGAGGAAACTTCACATTAGCCATGGTACAGCTCCTTCTTTTTCCGTCGTTGTGCTTGTTTATTTTTTGCCGCACAGCCCCCCCCTCCCTTTTCCACCTCGCTCTTTTTCTCCGCTGTTTCTTTCTCTTTTTCCCCCCCTTTCTCCTCTTTTTTTTCCTCCCCCCTCCAGCATCGCTCCCTTTTTTTTCCCCCTCTCTCCTTCCCTTTATTCCGCGGAGGCGCTTTGATCAGAATCGCAGCTATTTATTGCTTTTGTATTTCTCTCTCTAAAGCTGCCTCTGGCGCCTGCAAAGGGGGGGGGGGTCTGCGCGTGTGTGTGTGCGTTTTTGGGGGGCGATTTTATTTCCCTTTCGCTCCCCTCGCCGCCAAACCGGCGCTTTTTTCAAGCCCTCAGCCCCGCGCGGGTGGTGGGAGAAGGCGATTTAAAAATTGAGGCCGGGGGGGTGTTCCTCGGGGTGGGGTGCGGGGGGGTGGAAAGGGAAGAATTGTCCATTAAAACGGCACTCGAGGCGCAGATGGGGCTCGCCGCCCCGTCCTGCCCTGATTTTTTTCCCTGGGTTTATTCCTGACGATCTGCCCTTGACAAACCCCCGCGCAGGAGGAGCCGCCCCCCCAGCTCCCTCCGTGCCCCCAATTCCCGCTTTTCTGGCGGAGAAAAGAGCGGCTCCGGACCTGCCGGCAGCCCGGGAGCAGCGGGCGGCGGCGGAAAGAAAAGGGCAGAGCTCCCCAGAGCTCGATTCCCCGCTTAAATTATGGACACGGAGTGGGGAACGCGGCGGCTGGCGGGGCCGAGGGTGGGGGGTTTCACACGCGTGCCAGGGGGGGTGGGCGAAAAAGGACAGAGAGAAAGGGGGGGGTGCTGCTCTTTGGGGGCAATTCGCAGCTTTCCGCTGTTTAAAAATTAAAATTTCTTTTTAAAAAGCGCGAAAAATAGGCTTAAAATGTAAAAAAATAAGTGAAAAATAGCTGGAACGGGAGCAGAAAGAGCAAACGCAAACCCCGCTGTTGTCCGTGTTACCCAGACATGACTGGACCAGACGGGAAGAGGGCGAGGACAGCGTACACTCGCTACCAGACCCTGGAGTTGGAAAAGGAATTCCACTTCAATAGATATCTCACCCGCAGGAGGAGAATAGAGATCGCTCACGCGCTCTGCCTCTCCGAGCGCCAGATCAAAATCTGGTTCCAGAACCGGCGGATGAAGTGGAAGAAGGATAACAAACTGAAAAGCATGAGCCTGGCCTCGGCGGGCAGCGCCTTCCAGCCCTGAAACCCGGGCGGGGGGGGGAAAAAAACAAAAAAAGGAGGACGAGGTGAAGAGGAAGAAGAGGAAGAGGAGGAGAAGGAAAAAAAAAATTAAAAAAAAAATAAACAAAAAGGCAACAAAACCCCCGAGCGAATAATGAAATAAATAAAGCAGCGGAGCTGTGGTTTGGGAGGACTGTGCAGCCAGGCACCTTCTGCTCGCCGTGGGGCTGATTTCTCCCAAAAGCAGCTCCCGGGGGTGCTCGTGGCGTGCTCTCTTTTTGGAAGCCTTTTTTGTTTTGTTTTGTTTTGTTTGTTTAAAAAAAAAAATTAAATTTTATTTCCAGATGCTCCTCCTGCTCTCGTTGTTCTTCTAAATGTCTGTGTCCGTGCTCTCTTGGTGCTTTCTGGAAAGCTAGCATGTGTTCTGTGAGCCCTTTGAATGTTATAACTTATTTATAAATCCAGAACAGATACGCTTGTTGGTTTATTTGTTGGGTTTTCTTCTTTTTTTTTTTTTTTTTTTTTTTAATATTTTTTCCCGCCCCTTTTTTTCCGAGTTTCCTGCTCTTGGGTGAGTTTCGCTCTGCCCAAGCGAAAATCGGGGGTTCCTGCGCTGCAGCCGCAGGAAAAAAAGTCTTTAAAAACCAACAAAAATGTAAAAAAAAATAGGAAAAAAGAAAGAAAAAAAAAAAAAAAAAAAAAAAAGAAGCAGCTCTTGTATCTTTCTGTCTTAAAATTGTCCAGTCTGTGTTTTAGTCCAAACTCCAGGCCGGGATTTCTAATCCCAGCCTAATTCCAAGGCGTACTCTTAGACGTGGGTGAACTTCACTATTAAAAAATTGATAATAATAATTAATAACTCAAAAAATAAAGATTAAAAAAAACGATGTATAAAAGCGGAGAGCCACGCTGGAGCTCTCTGCTGTTTGTAAATATTAGAAATATTTCTGCCGTGAGTAATAGCCGGGTCGTAGTGGGCAGAGTGAATGCGGTGTTCTGTGTAAAAATGGCATCTGTCATGTCT